GCAACAACAGTTCTACTTCCAATAGTCCGTAATTAAGCTAAAATATATTTTTAAAAAGACTATTTAGATTAAAAAGGATGTAATCGTCACACTCAAGAGATGTAATGGTCAGCTATACGAAGATCAGTAAAATCTGAATCTTTAAACTGAAAGAGGTAAAAGAAACCGGAATTGTGGCACGACATGCAACCCTTCAGACAGATTACTATGACCGTATTTCAAAACTAGAAAATATTAATGTAGATCTAGGGAAGATAATATATGAGATAGAAATACAGCAGATCCAACACTTAAAAAAGGAAAGTTGTAGACTTAGAAAAATTACAGTAAACTAGATTCTTAAGGTTAGCCTTAATAAAATTTATAATATTAACTATCACACCTGCGTAGTTGTGTCCATTTTGCTGCTCACAGAAGAAACAGCAGCGCGAACCAATTGATTTGTAAGCAGAGATTTTCCAACATTTGGGGCACCAATGACAGCAACTTCAAGCGCGCGCTAAACAGACATTTGAAAGAACAGTATTCCGAAAGAAAATGAGTAAAGCTGACATACTGAACTGACTTACGGCTAAAGAAGAATCAGCCACTTTGGAGGAAGCATGGAAAGAACCAGTTAGATGGTTGATTCGTTGTGATAAATGTCGAATCAAGTTGAGATTCATCTGAATATCTGAGGAAATATTTCTTTAACGTAATGCCCATTGAAAGCCGCAATTGAAGAAGTTCATATAGAGTTGCTATAGGAGATTCAAAACAAACCGTTTGATGATTAGTCGTTAAAAAAAGATTGTATAAAACTTACTTATTATTACTATTATTACAAAATTCAAAGCATATTCTAATTGTATGTTTAGGCGTCAGTCAAAGAGATGTGCGCTTGCAGAACGCAAGATTACACGGCTGCATCAAATCCCGAGGAGTTTCTCGGCTGTTGTGGCAGAATTAAGAACGGCGTAACAGTTTGGGATTGTTATAAATGGCACGAGCTTTATGGATCATCGCAAAATTTGCACTACTTCAACCTTCGTGTAGTTTGCTGGTCCGAAAAACACACCAAACTCTGACTAAGGATCGCCAAACGAGGTAGACCGGAAACTGAGCATCTTGGGAAAATTGCAGTGAAAAAAGTCGGTATGAACAAGGTGATAGTTCAGTCTCTATGTTCAAGGGATGCTTCATTAAAGGATATCGCACAACTCGTACTTATATAATAGTTTAATCATAGTTTAACACCAAGAAAAAACTTTCTTTTTGGAAAAAAGATATAGAAATGATGGATCACCTGCCACTTCTCAAAATTCGTTCGAAAGCATCATTTTCATACAAAAACTTCCATTGTGGTTAGGAACAGGTAAGTGAAGGGTTTCTGACGATTTTCTCCGTCTTGTTAAATCATGCACCAACCGATAAAGTGCAAGCTCATTGTATATGATTACATAAATCAAGAACTTCAAAGACAGTACTAAGCTTTTTGGATTTCAATTTTTTCCAGA